CTCATAGAAAACATCTCCTGCTCCCCCTTTTCTCTTCTTCTCTTTCCCCTCGCTTTCTCTTCTCACTCTAAATTTCCATTTCTCTACTTACTATACTTCGCTATATTTCTTAATATTAAAGCATTATTAACTGTCAATGTCTTAATAGCCGTTTGTATTACTATAGAATTGTTTAAATTTGCGTGTTTTTTTTTGGCTCTAGCAGCTGCTTCTTTAAGGGGCAAGGTGATGTAGCCCTTTATTCTCTCAAGGCTTTTCTGTTTGTAAACTTTGTATATACTGTTTAATGAGGGTAATAATTATTATTATAATTATTATTAATATTATCATTATATACCGCTTATAGCTTGATGAAAGTTGTAGACTTTGGGCAAAAATATCGAAAAATTGGTTCTAAATGCCTACTCGACTCATTAAGTAATTCAGAAACCAAATTCATAAAGCGATAGGTTGGTCCTTTCCATTCAGGAAAAAATAATTCTGCGGATTTTTTTTGGAAGTCTTTCGAATTGTCGGTACAAGATAATAAAGCAAAATTTCGAAAAAAAATACTATTGACTAAAATCGTATTTCGAATAAGTAGCACAATGCTAGGCCATATACTTTTTAATGACAGGACCACCGAGAAAATGGAAATTTTGCATAGAAGGCTAAATTTCACATTTTTTTCCGAACCCCTAAAGCAAACCGTTTGACCTAGGAATTTGAGAATTTACAAAAGTTTATGCCTCTATAGGTTCGCATCAGAAAACGATAAAACGAAATTGAGCCTGATACGGGTCACGAAGTTGGGCTAATCCATCTGTTTCACAAAAATAATAAATTCTATGCATTTTTATAATTTTCAGCCTGATAAACTAGTAACAAATTACTTTTTACTAAAATACCAGCCGAACGAATTTTACAACAGAAATTTCATTATGGGGCCCAATGGTAAAACACTTCTTCAGAAGTCTGTCAATTTCATCTTCTCTCTGAGCTTGACATTCTCGACGTGTTGCGTTACTTTCTGCGTAGGCAATTATTAATCCCAAATAACTCTATTGTTCTTGTGTAGACTTCATCTACGTTTTCTGTCCCAACAAGAACGAGTCAGCTCTTGTTTGCCTTTTCCATTGTGTGGCCCAATGCTTTCCAATGACAGGAGTAATGAGAAAATGAAAAAGTTGTCAGAACGCTAAAATTCACATTTTTCTCGAATCTTCAAACTGTGAGCACATGTTGAACCCGAATTTCAGTGTTGACCCAATTTGTATATTGCTAATTGTGCTAATAATGCTCCAAACTTCATACCACTGCTACAACATACTAATGCGAAAACACCATTCTCTCAAAGCACTACAAACACTTACTCCTAAGCTGCGATTCGCTGCATGGCCATTCGCATCCCCACTCTTACAATATTCATTCCCGTTCACCAGCAGAAGCTCGATGACGACTATAAACGTTCCTCCCTCTGGGTCTGGTTGCAATTACTAGCACCCTTAAAACGCTTTAAGTAAACTAAAATGCAGGCGAACACCTGTGAACGTGGCTCTCATTAAACGGATCTTTATGGGACAGTTATTCGGAAACAGTGTGCCCGAACAGCGAGTGCTCTGGTCGGTGGGTAAGAACAGTGCGGTGGTGAAACCATGAGGAATGAGACTGCTTGGGGATTCATAATGTCTTCATGTCGCAAAAAACGTGTGACATGTTTACGAGCGCAGTTTTTTGGTGCAATGAAGGCACTGCTGGGTCTAGTGAGGGTCTAGTGAGGGTGATCGTACTTGGACTGTGGAATCAGGACTTCATGAATCCTGTCAAGAGTAATTCTGCAAACTTAGCCGAATTGCGACAGGGGGATCTCGTCCTTCTTAGCAGGGTGATCTGACCACTCATAGGAGTGGCCCAATGCTTTCCAATGACAGGAGTAATGAGAAAATGAAAAAGTTGTCAGAACGCTAAAATTCACATTTTTCTCGAATCTTCAAACTGTGAGCACATGTTGAACCCGAATTTCAGTGTTGACCCAATTTGTATATTGCTAATTGTGCTAATAATGCTCCAAACTTCATACCACTGCTACAACATACTAATGCGAAAACACCATTCTCTCAAAGCACTACAAACACTTACTCCTAAGCTGCGATTCGCTACATGGCCATTCGCATCCCCACTCTTACAATATTCATTCCCGTTCACCAGCAGAAGCTCGATGACGACTATAAACGTTCCTCCCTCTGGGTCTGGTTGCAATTACTAGCACCCTTAAAACGCTTTAAGTAAACTAAAATGCAGGCGAACACCTGTGAACGTGGCTCTCATTAAACGGATCTTTATGGGACAGTTATTCGGAAACAGTGTGCCCGAACAGCGAGTGCTCTGGTCGGTGGGTAAGAACAGTGCGGTGGTGAAACCATGAGGAATGAGACTGCTTGGGGATTCATAATGTCTTCATGTCGCAAAAAACGTGTGACATGTTTACGAGCGCAGTTTTTTGGTGCAATGAAGGCACTGCTGGGTCTAGTGAGGGTCTAGTGAGGGTGATCGTACTTGGACTGTGGAATCAGGACTTCATGAATCCTGTCAAGGGTAATTCTGCAAACTTAGCCGAATTGCGACAGGGGGATCTCGTCCTTCTTAGCAGGGTGATCTGACCACTCATAGGAGTCGAATTAATCACAAATTCGAAGGAGAGTATTCGCGAGAGCGAGGTGGGATTTCAGAACTCGGGAGGCCTCTGAGAAAAATGAGCGAGTTTGGTTACTGGAAGCGCTTCCGGCGCTGAGGTCTTTGTGCCAAGACTCTCACTGCCTCTCGATAGATACGCTACAATTTTCCAGGTCCATGTTACTATTATCTCTTGTCTATAGCGTAATCTTGAGCGGGATGGGCGTAGGAAAAACATAACAATATGCTTGGACAGGCCACAACCCAGGTATTAAATGCAAGCAAAATTACCTAGAGCTTTGCGTTACAAAGTAGCGGGCTCTGCTTTATTCGCTCTCCTAAATAAGAAAAAGGAAAAAGCGGATCAACACAAAAAAAGTACGCTTCCACTGTTCACTCAGCGCAGCCAAGGGCTCATAGACGCTTGTGTTCGGAACAAGTTAAGAAGTGAGCTGTTATTTTGTAGTATTGCTACAGCGCTGTAAATAATACATTGTTACATCGAACCTTAATCCACATCGCCGCCGCGAACATTGCTAGCTAACCTGTGTTTACTGACATCTATCATTATTTAAGCAAAATACACATATTTATGCTAGTTCGCTGGCAACTTTTGCCGCATTGAAAGGTGACAGCAAAAAACATGTACACACTTTACAGAATCGTAACTTCGCCAACGACAGCAGCCAGTTCATGCAGTTGACGTTTCGCTCAATGTGGGTACTGAAAATATTTCCATCATGTCATGTATTAAGTGAAAATGTACTTGAAAGTCATGAGCAAGAGTATTTAAAACGTCAGAAAACGGAGTTTGAGAGATTTTTTTGTTCCTTGTCGGTAGCTTCGTCACTGCAGGATCGGTTTTCAAAACCCAGAAAGCTTTTTCGTGCAGTAAACTTGTGTCAAAATTTCTTCAAATGTGATTCTTTTCAAGTTACAGATGGACGAAGAATTAGCAAATAGCATAAAAGAAACGTAATATTTCATTTTCGAAACTTATTGCGACTACAGCCCTTTCTCACCAAATGGCGTAGAAAGTAAAATCTAGAGAGTGATGAAATTATTATTTTTATGTTTCCAAATGTGAATACTCATGCCTGTCCTCGACCCCGAACTAGGAACGCTTTTTGGAATAACTCCTTTGATCTCATAAGGTGTCTTCAAATGAAATCACTTGGCAAAGATCACGAGGAACCATGGCGACAGAATCGAACCGTTTGCTTGTGCTCAGATAAACAAGTTGCCATGGATCTAATTGGATTGCCAGGAATCGGCATCTCAGGTGGTTTCTTATAATGAATGCGACGGATTTCCGCTCTCATATCTTTACTAGCTTGTCATCCCTACTAGGACCAAAGTCTTCCGCCACTGACCTTAGAGCAACGAAGTGCCCACTTTGAGTTTTATGTAGATGTACCTAGGAAGTATCGGACCGGGGCGCTCCCCAAATTAAGGGCTTAAGCACAACGACGCGATCGTAACGCTCTACACCCCCCTTACTCTCCATACATTTGCTGCTGCATCCGATGGCTGGATTGCTCGTAAACCGGATATGCCCCTGCTGTTGGAGTAGCGTGTGTGTTTATTGCTTGCTCACACTGCCTTTTTCCCATCCTAATCGCCCGTTCCCTAATAAACTGCTACTTTGTATTAGTGGTAGGTGAAACTTTATTATCAATTTATCACTGTTTTATCCCTGTTTCATCCCCCGTGGATGAGCCCTTAGTTCATTAGACGAAGTTGAACAAAGAGTGTTCAATTTGGAGTATCCTGATGGTGTATGTTGGATAAAGAAATAGAATAGACTGTTTTATATCGCTTTTGCTCACTAGGTAATCAGATTATTGGAGGTAGAGATATGTATTAAATTTCTTCAAATCTCCGGGAAAATCTTCGATATCAGAAAATCATTTCTTAGATGATTACAGATCACCGCAGTGATCATTTGAAGGTCAAGTTTGTAGATTTAGATATCAACTGTGATTTTTAACGGCAGATTCGTGGTTGCTATTCTACATTAAAGTGCACTTTCATACATGAAATCAAGGGGTCACAAGTCTCCTGATTAAGATATCCTAAACTGTAATGCCTGAAGAGAACATGGATATGCGGAAACTTAACATTAATGCAGTACTAACGAAATTGAAAGAAAATTCATGTTCAACCTTCAAATCGTCGCCCTAATAAGAAAACTGCCTAACTCCACTTTTTCCACAAATTGACATTTTAGCTCCATCTGTTAGAGAACGGCACCGTTCATTCACCTACCAAACAGTATGTTCGTAGAAAAATCTACAGCCGTACAATAACCTAAACAGAAATATGCCTATCTCCGTGCGCGCAAAAACGGCGGGAAAACAGCCTATCTCCGACAGTTTTATGTTATTTCTTGATCGATCAAAGCTGTCCGTTGTTTTTATCAGGAAAATCAGTTTTTTCGACGATTCGACTCGATTGTTTACTCCAAAGGTCAACATGAATGAGAGGTAAGTAGTTGCATACATTTTTATTGTAATAATAGTACTAGAACTGACTAAATTATATTATTATAGATTGATATGGAGTTAGGCAGTTTTCTATGAACATTTTTGAGGGAGTTAGGCAATATTATGAGCTTACTGTAGTGAAATCAAATACAGAAAGTTTTTGAGATCATAATTAATTTTCTGCTTAATTTCAGATGCAGACCTGTTTCCCGAGCCATGCAGATGGTTCTCATGGCGAAAAACACTCCTCTAGGAGATAATACAGTTCAGAATATGGATATGGATTTAACCATAGATAACCACGTAGAACTCGGTGTTGACACAACTGTTTCGTTAGAAACAAGCAATATTTCTGATACGAGTCGACTGATTCTAGAAAATGACATTTCAGCATTGTGCGTAATGTCTGACGAGCAGATTTTAGAAATTGTCGATGAAAATCTTCAGATTTTGGAGGAAGAAATCAGTAATGCGGCATAAAAATCTAACGCTTTTGAGGAACGAAAAGAAGACGATAATGAGCAGGAAATTGAAAGTCACCTGAACACAGTGGAAAATAATATGGAAATAATCGCGAAAACTACAGAAAATCCCAACACGATCACTGAAATAACAGTAAGAAGAAGATCAAACGTTAAAAATTCTCTGAGGGACTGGGATCAGAAGATTAACCAGAGGAAGAGGGAAAAGGGAGTGCAGTATAAAGGCAAAAAGAAACAACCAGAAGGTTGGACATATGACCGACCGAGGCCCAGTAGGTTTTTAGCTGATCCATGTCACTGCAAGAGGGGAAAGAAGGGGGAAACAAAGTTTAAATGTTGTACCATTGGGGAAGAGCGACGGCGAAAGATTTTTAATACATTTTGGAATAAAATGTCCTGGCCTGAGAAAAAAATGTTTGTGAAAGGTTTCGTGAAGATCGATAAAGTTAAGAGAAGATGATATTTCCCGTAGAAATTATTCGATGACATATACTTTGAAAAACGGTCTAGAGGATGTTATGGTTTGCAAGAATATGTTGGTCGGTACCTTAGGACTGAAGGGAAGAACTGTGGTTGAGTGGGTTAAGGAACATTTAGAAAACATAGAATGTACTGAGATAACAGAAGGTCCACCGATAAACAGAAAAAGCATTGTTAAACAGGCTAAACTGGAATCATCTAATACTGGAGTTTTACAGTTTTTCGGCAGCCTTGCAAAGATGGAAAGTCAGTACTGCAAAGCAACCAGTAAGAAAGCCGCTGTGGATTTCAAAAGCGTCTCTTTACAAATTTTATAAGTCTGAGTACTGCATAGAGAATAAGGTACAACCAGTTTCACAGGCAAAGTTTGACACAACATTTAAAGAACTTAATCTTTCGCTTTTTCGTCCAAAAAAGGATGAGTGCGATGTTTGTGTCGGTTACCGCACATCTAATGTTAATGCAGAAAACTATAAGCTACATCAAGAATTAAAAGAAGAAGCTAGGGCAGAAAAGGCCGCAGATAAGCTATCCAGCGATGCAGTTGTGTTTACTGTAGATTTACAATCTCTTCTACTGAGCCCAAAAACCAATGTGTCAAATATGTACTACAAAACTAAACTTGTCGTGCATAATTATACAATTTATAACTTAAAAACCAAAGAGGTTTACTGCTATCTATGGAATGAGGCTGAAGGACAGCTGACCTCAAACGAATTCTCTTCAATTCTTGTACATTTTCTAGAAACAGAGGTCATTCTCACACTGGATCGTTCCAAAAAGATTATTATCTACAGCGATGGTTGCACAGGTCAGAACCGTAACGTAACTCTAAGCAATGCACTCCTCCACGTTGCGACATTGCACAAAGTGATAATTTTGCAAAAATATCTTTTGAAGGGTCACACGCAAATGGAGGTAGACTCTGTTCATTCAGCTATAGAAAGAATAGTAAGAAAAGTAAAGATAAATTTACCAGCAGATTATATTGAAATATGTCTAAGAGCACGAAGCAATCCATTTCCATACAATGTCAATTATTTGACTCATGATTTCTTCAAAAACTTTTCAACTGTCCAATACTACAGCTCTATTCGACCAGGCAAAACTGCGGGCGACCCAATGGTAGTTGATATCAAATCTTTAAAATATGAAGATGGCTCAATTCAATTTAAATTGCGACACTCAGAGAATCTTTGGAGTGATCTCCCCAGAAGGGTTGTGAAATCTATTCCCAACGACAATAATTATGGTACCTTACCTAGGCTGTATGAGAGGAGATTGAAAATTAAAAAAGAAAAATACCAACACCTCATGGTACTCATGAAAGGCATAGATAAAGAGTATCATAATTTTTATCTCAACCTACCTCATGCATGACAATGTTTAGCGTTCTTGTGAGTTAGAATTACTTATTTCATTTTCATTTTGCCATTGATGTGGATCTCATTCTTATTTGTGCAATGTTCTTGCTGGTCTTATATTTTTCATAATAAAGAAATGTTTTATTTTGATTTTTAAATTACTAAAAATTGATTTTTTCAAGTTTCTTTCGTGTATTTCTGGAATGATAGAAATTTGCCTATCTCCTCTCTTATTATCAAATATTAAGCAGATATTGGCCTAACTCCACGTTGAGTGTGAAAAATAATAAATGTAATGAAAAACGGATTGCTAGCCTACTAATTATACCATTGCAAAATGGTTAGGTGCATAAAATCAATATCCTTATGGTAAATTATTTCTACAAATAGTTTTTTGTCTCTCCTGTAAAATTTGCTGAACTGGACTTAGGCAGTTTTCTTATTAGGGCGACGAAATGTGACCTAGGTAATGACCTCAAGGGTCAGTTGGAAGTGGATGAAAGTGGGAATTAGTAAATACAAATTATCCTCAAATATGTTCTGATGTAAAATCCGAATAACTCTGAAGTCTACACGAATCTGCATCCCAAAAATTGAGATTGAACTCAGAAACTCAGCCCTCAAACCAGTGTGGTCATTATCCTAGGACATATATGAAACTATTGACAATTGCTTTTTCGCCATTTCAAAACATTTGTTAGAACTTTTCAGAAAAATACTTAGTAATAAATAATATGATTTTGTTATGTGTGTCTGGTATTTAAGATAAACGAGGCATACACGACTAACAACTGTCTACCTTCACAGCAATGTGACGATCCAGAAAACATGTGCTTGTTACGTCAGGCCAAGATCCGTCTTGGGGAATAGGAAGGAGTCCCTCTATACTACAACTATTTAAAACTGTAATGACTCATACGCGTGATCATAGCTCGATCCCGGCTTCCTTCCAGTACAGCCGTATAGCGTACGACATATGTCGTTTCTGTGGTCAACAGCACAGACAGAGATGGAAATGCGAGATGGATTGTTCTCCGCCGGTAGAACCAATGAAATCAAAGACGCGCCTCGACCGGCAGACTCATAGGCGTCGGCAACGCATTGGAACGTGTTTCGTTGAGCGATCGCATATTGTGTGTTTTTATAAGAATTTTTGTGTGATTGTTATTGTTGTGGTTTCTGTGGTTACTGTTTTGGTTATACTTAACCATGGAGAGTACAAATGGCACGAGTGGAAGTACTGAAAGCCAGGGAACAAGTAGACGGCTTCGTAAAGCACTGAAGAGGGACGCGAAAGAAATCGTGCTCAACGTGTTCAATTATCTGAACAGAACTATGTCGCAGGGAGATGCACTCGCGCGTTGTGAAAGTATGACAGGCGTTCCAGAGTGGACCATTCGCAGGGTGGTGCATGAAAAGAAGAAAACTGGAGCTACTACTGATCCAAAGTTTAATTTGAAGGGACGAAAGGCCGTTAAATTGGATGATGATTAGGAATGAGATACCAACCCTCAAGGCTGTACATGCAGCGATCAAGGAAAATGAAATTATACCCCAAATGAGCGTCGAGGTAATGAGGAAATCCCTGCACGAAATTAATTTTCGTTACGAAACGCGTAATCGGAAGTGAGTATTGATAGAGAGACCTGAAATAGTCGCCTGGCGTCGAAAATACCTACGCGAAATGATTGAATATAGGCGACAAAGCAGAAAAAATCTATTGTTTGGACGAGACATGGGTAAATGCAGGTCACACAGTTAAAAAAACCTGGATAGACAAAAACGTAGTGAGTAACCGACAAGCAAGCATTGAAGGTTTGTCAACAGGTCTTCGTGGACCGTCAGGGAAAGGTCAAAGATTGATCGTAACTCATATTGGTAGCGATAGTGGCTTTTTAGAAGAGTGTGACTTGATTTTCGTCTCTAAGAAAGGAGGTGATTACCATGACGAAATGAATGCCAGCTGCTTCGAGAGCTGGTTTCAAGGGGTGCTACAGCGAGTTGAGCCCAACTCTGTGATCGTCATGGATAATGCTTCCTACCATAGTCGTCGAGCCGAACGTGTACCGACTATGGGATCTCGAAAAAGTGACATGCACCAATGGTTGCGCGAAAAAGGAATCCCGTTTGACGATTCATGTGTGACAGCGAAATTGTATGAAAAAATTAAACAGCACAGACCTGCGAACATTAGTTACGTGACTGATGAGATGGCCCGTCAATGTGGTGTCACTGTGTTGCGGTTACCGCCCTACCACTGTGAACTGAACCCAATAGAGCTCATCTGGGCTCAAGTGAAGGGTTATATTGCGCGCCATAACACAACCTTCAAATTACCAGACGTTAAGGTTTTACTTGAGACTTCCATACAGCTAGTAACGCCCGAAGCTTGGCATAATGCTGTCCGTCATGTTGTGAAGGAAGAAACAAAAATGTGGCAGCTTGACCACCACATCGACACCATCATAGAGCCAGCTATAGTCAATTTCAACGAGGAAAGCGATAGCGACAGTTTATTACTGTCAGATGTAAGTGGAAGCGACGATGAATAAAGGTAATTCCCGAATTTTTGACTTACAATATATTTCAAACCACTCTTTATTAAGCATGTGACAAATCTAGTTCACCCATGTTAAACATGCATACCCCGCCTATGAACAGCCGACTACTGGTACACGTGAACATCGATGAGTCATTACAGTTTTAGATAGTTATAGTATAGATGATGTCCGCCTTCTCAGAAGTTGCTATTTTGAGTTGGTGTTACTTAAATGTTTCTCATTAGTTTATAATTACTTTACTCCCTGAAGATGAAGCTTCAATCCATTAGGGGATCATCGAGTGGGATTCTTGAACGCTAGAGAAGTAGAGAACTATTATAGGTGTCTAGGAGTACCTGACCAAATCAGAACAGCTATTTCTTTCTTGGCCGTTCAATGTAACTAAGCATTCCATTTATTTGCTTTAGCTGCTACCGAAACCTAAAGATCTGGTCATAATACAGTTGTCATAGGATAACAACTGCCCATCCCAATCTATCAATCCATCAATCTGGTTTTCAAAAGGCACTACACCAGCTCTGCTATTCATTATGAATAGTATATGTAAGAATCTATGTTACATGACCAAATTGTAATAATATTAGGTACAACGCTTTTATGTTCTTTGAATTTTATTTAGCCAATCGAACTAAGAGTGAAAACCATCAGATCTGTTTCAGAGCCCAAAGGTATTTCATCTGGAGTCCTGGAGGACCCAGTCCTAGGGCCTTTACTTAATTTTAACTTTTAGCTTGCATAGCTGTGTTGAGCATTGGATGATCCAAACCTAAGTCAATGTTGCACAAACAACATATAATTTTAACTCTAGTAACTTCAGTAACATTTCGTAAAAGGTTGACGTAGTCGAATATACAGGGCGTTAATAAAGTATGCAGACAAACTTTAGCCATCAAATGCTTGGTTAATTTGAAGACTAAATGTTCATAAGAACATAGATCCGTAACGGCTTCCGTTTCGAGCTAGAACACTATCACTAAAGGAATACGAGTAACGTTCCAAATATTTCTATGAATAATGAAAATTTTTTGGTATAGTCAGACATGACTCGACAATTC